GAAGTGCCCTAGTAACGATTTGGAGTACCGAAATACGCAGCTAACGATTTTGGGCGCTGAAGGAACTCTGCCACGTCACCACGTGTTTGATTTTACAGTAAGATTTTGAATATCAGAAAAACATGTCAACTACGGACGGTTCAATGTGTGTCAATTCAGGACACAAGGAAGCACATATCACCATTTCGCAAATACAACCAGATACTACTGTCCTCGTACCAAACCTGAAGTGAGCTGAAACCGTCATCGATCCTCCAGTAACGAATACCGAAAATACCGAGAAGAGACACATATTTTCGTTACAAAGTAGCGAATACCGAAAAGTACACGTTTCGGTACAGAAGTAACGATACCGAAAAGTACCGAAGTACGTAAAGAAGTAACAGAATACCGAAAAGTGCCCGTTCGGTACAGAAGTAACGAATGCCGAAGGTACAGAAAACCGAAAAGTACCGATTTCGGTATTGAAGTAACGGGTACTTGGACGTACCGATTTTCAGTACCCGTTACAAAATACCCGGTTCGGTAGTACCGACTCATCACTAATTTGCTTTTATCCTTCGTAGTGTATGAGCAGCACGATCATTATCGGGATGATGAGTCACAGTCTCATAGTGCATTCAGTTCAGCAAGCAATGGCTTTCAGCACTTCTAAGTACTGTACGGTACTTCTAAGTACTGTATAGCATGTGCGTAAAAGTGTTGCCTTTTCATTTTAATTAAAACCTCGTTTTTTTTTAAAAAAATAGTTTTTTCTCCCATTTTCAACATACAGTAATTAATTAAAGTGTACGTAGGCCCTTCCTTCGGAAAAAATCCGATTATCCGAATGGGGTCCAGTCACAATTGATTCAGATAATTGGAGTTCTATTGTATTGCTTTGCATAATATTAAGTTATAACTTATTTTTTATGTATATCAGTATATTTATCCTGTTAAGGGGACTCGTACACCTTAAAACCCGTAAGATCTTCGAATATGTGACTGTTGCAAGAATTGCGATAACTTATTTATTTTAAAGGCAATTACTTCCAACTTTTTGCAACTGACTACATAATACGGCTGCTTTATGAAATAGTCATCAGAAAGTTTGTGTTGCCACAAATATTTTTATAATTTAATGCGCTTTGTGACGAAAATTTTCGTCATGTTTGCACCTTGCGCGCACAGTTTAAAACATTCTGTTGCATAATTAATTTCCATATTTAATATACATATGTATAACTTTAATAACTTTTGATAAATACTCTGAACGAAAAATTTTAAGAATTTCATGTTAATTTTTTATTTGATTTGGAGTTGAGTTTATAAAATGTATTTTATTAAAAAAATCTGTAATATTTTCGTGCCTAAAAATTTTTAATATTAAAATATTCATCAGATTTTTGGTTCAGTTAGAAAATAGTGCCCATATAAAGAATTCCATCCAATTTCAAGTATGTACCATTGGCCATTTTTAAAATATCATGCGCGCAAAGTGGAAACATGACGAAAATTTTTGTCACAAAGGGGATTAAATTACAAAAATATTTGTAGCAACACAAACTTTCTGATTACTAGTTTCCAAATCAGCTATATTATGTAGTCAGCTGTAAAAAGTTGGGAGTAATTTCTTTTAAACTAAATAAAATATCCCAAATCTTGCAACAGTCACATATTCGAAGAGCATAAGGGGTTTAAGGTGTATGAGCCCCCTTAATATAGCAGAATTACAGACAGTTATAATCATTTGATCTTGTAACAGAAAAATATTTCTGTGCTTTTACGAATTCGCGTTATCATGTCTTCGCTTTATGATGACCTGACACACATAGAGCAGCAGGCGCTAAGCTTCGGAACTTTTGCGGACCAAAAAGCAGCCGAGTGATAAAGTCGCTGGAAAAGGGAGTAAAAGTTTATAATTGGGTGCCCTTTCTATTTTGGCGATTCTTTTTTGACGCCAAGATCGGTGCCAGGAAGGCACAATTTCAAAGTGGCCTCTGTACAAAACCAAAATAAGAATTCAAAGAATTGCAAAAACTGTGTGCCCATGTACATATCGATCTGTTTTCACTTAAATAAGAACTCAAATTCACCAAAATAAGAACTCAAATTCACCAAAATAAGAACTCAAAGAATTGCAAAAACTGTGTGCCCATGTACATATCGATCTGTTTTCACTTATAAACCATTCCAGAATTGCACAAACTAGGCATTGCTCACTGCCTTAAATTTGTTCATGTACACATCAATCTATTATCATTTTTAAGAAAATCTGATGTGTACACCACATGACTTCCTTGTACAGAATATTAAATTATACGCATTTTTTCTTGCATTTCGTTTAAACTTATTCGACTGAATTAAATCTACTTCGCCGACAGCGCATAAACCACAATAGAATAAATGCATTCTTTGAAATTCCCTCTATTTGTTTACCATAGCGACACTCTGACGCTAGGTTCACTTAACAGTATTATATTTCGTTCATATTATAATTTAGAATGCACAAAATTTATATCATTTAAAGAATTATCTAATCGCTGCCACATGTTCTGTTCAAATACTATAATAAAGCTAGAACGATGCATAAAAGAAATTAAGCAAACAAAACAAAAAAGAAACAGTTTTTCACAGACGATTCAGTATTTCTCATTCAATTAATTCAGTTCTCACTTCGCGACAAGGCAAAAATACATAAAAACTCAAAATATTTGTATTAAAAATTACGAAGTAAATCTTAAACACTTATTTCCTCGAAAAAATTCCAGAAAAGATTAAGCATGATTTAATTCGCAATAATAAATGAAGGCGTTATCTTTGTTGTTGCGAATCTACGTTTCTCTAGATTTGCAACAAATCCATTACTCTGCTGTTTCAAATGTAAACAAGCAATGGCCGCCATAAAAAAAATTATTAGGCTTAGCGGCACTTAAACAACTTTAAAATTGTTGATAATTCTACAACTATATTGCATGAGAGATTAAACTAAAGGCATAAAAACTTTAACTGGAAGATAAGAACAACATAATTCAAGATTCAAGTATTTTTAAAGCAAAATATGCACAATTTATCAACATATAAGAAGTAAAAGAACTGAGATCACTGATATGGGTAACAGAGTGGATATATATATATATATATATATGTATATAAATGTATCTAATGGTCTTAGCACGGCTATCGCAACCAAAATACGGAGGTAGGTGCACAGCTACATGTTATTAGCTAGTTCTGTATACAAAATTTCAACGTTCTGAGGCTACTCGTTTTTGAGTTATACGAGATATATGTATATGTATGTACGTACGTACGTGCAGATGTCACCAAAAAAATTCTCTTCTGAATCCATTTTAAAGCAAGTTTTACAATTCGTACTTTTTCGAGGAAAACAAAGTCCTTTATTGTGTCCGTACGTACAGATGTCACGCAAAAACATCGTTCAAATTGGCATTCGGAGAGCGGTTCAAAATGGATATTTTCGTTGAAATATGCTGCCTGAAACTTTTCACGATTACAATACTCCCTTTTTACTTCGTACAAGGAAGTAAAAATCAGGAAGCTAAAACAAAGTTAAAACTATCATGGTACCCATAAATGAGGTTTCATTGCCAAAATTAAAATAAAACATTTGTCGCTAATCGAAGGGGCACCCAATTCTACACTAGAGCCGCAAATGGCAGTTCGCATCCTGGCGAGCGGGCTTGCTGCACCGGCATTTTCGTGATTTTTCCCTATGTGTGACGTGTATACGAGTCAGTTTCCCTGCCAATCCTCCACAGAAAGCTAGCCTTCACAGGACTACAGCCTCCGATTATTCAGGCAGAGGTTAGGGTCTGGCAGATACAGTACTGGTACTGTCGTGTCCGTTCCCTCAGCTGCTGTGGAGCGAAATGGTGGAGTTGATATGACTGAGACCTTGTGAGTTGTACCCCTCAGTGCTAGTGACGGGTAATGACAAAGTGGATGAGCACTCAGTTTAAATTTAATCGATGCCAAAGGAGTGGGCACGGAGGCAAAGATTTGAGAGACATTAGGATTTTTTGGAAGCCAGAGAGATGAAAAATTAGCAACCGCCTTCGCCGGGAATCGAATCACAGACCTCTGGAATACCGGCCCAGCGTGCAGAACCACTACACCACGAAGGACGCTAGGAAAATGGGAGAAATACCTTATACTCCCCTTTTTAAAGGGCGAATAGGGTTTTAGGAGACCTAGTCGCCAAATCCTGGGTGTGGAGAATCATCATCCACAACCTTTTAGTTAGGGCACCACTTTTAGAGTCATTAGGTTAATTGGAAGCAGAAAAGATGCAAAATAGCAACCGCCTTCGCCGGGAATCGAACCACGGACCTCTGGAATACCGGCCCAGCGTGCAGAACCACTACACCACGAAGGACGCTAGTAAAGTGGGAGAAATACTTTATAAGATGTCAAAGCGTTGTTATTTGTATTTTTATATTTTGATTAAGTGTTTATTGCTCTATCCTTAGGCTTTGCATAAAGAGCGGCTGGAGCTGCGGGGATCCTTCCCGCTCGGATACAAGCAATCCCCGAAAGGCGCCCTAGAGGAAGACACAGGACGGAGGTTCAAGGCTGTTGTGCCATGTCCACGAAAGGCACACCTCCTCCACGAAAAACAAATCCCTCCTCCAAGAAAAGCATCCCTCCTCTTAACCAGGAGTAAACCTCGGGAACTTTGCCGAACCATCGGAACTTTTGCAGCAAACGCAAAATAAAAACCGCGATCAGTTGAATCTCCTAGAAATCGTATTATAGTAATTTTCCTGGAATTGAAAAGAAAAAGTTTCGTAATTGCCAGCCATCTCACTCACCTTTACGATTCACCATTTTCCTCATGCGTTAATTTGAATGGATAAGTTGAAATTCTAAATTAAACTGAGAGACAGCTTGTTTTCTAAACGTAACAGTTTTGAATTAATGATATTTTAAAAATTATACTTAACTTAAGTACCGTTAGAAAAGGACTTCGTAGGATTTTATTTGCAATTATGTTTCAGACTGTACATGGGTACAAAGTATACAGTTGTTCTGAATGAATACAGCGTGGTGAAGGAAACTCTGACACAACCTGGAGCTTTGGATAGGGCACCGAAGCTGTTCGAACATATTCCACTTGTAGGTAAGTTCAGTTTCAAATTGCCATTTTTTTTTAAGTTGGCCTGATATTCCTTAAAACACCGCTCTAATTTAATATAATATACAAGATGAAAATTCTGCATAAACTATTGAATAACTCTGCAATCAGATTAAAGTTCTATTAGCATCACGAACATTTCAGTGTGCATACATTCCCCACGATCTTCCTTTAACGAAATGAAGTAATCCCGAATAGATCAGAACTTCGCAGGAAGTATTTAATGAAGAATTCTTCGTATAGATGTTACGGTGAAACACCGAAATCTGGAGAAAGTCGACTTTCACCGGTGAATGTCACATAGTCTCTTGTTGTATGTCCGAAATATTTTCCAAATATTCTTATTTCTGACTCACACCGGTCAATGTCGACATTCACCATGTACTAATGGTGAATGTTGAACATATAACAATATTATATTTTCTTCTCCGTAATTCAGTCGCGAATAAACGCACTTGAGACTTCAAATAAGAGAACTTAAGAACATGAGAACCTAAAACACACACAATACATTCAAAATGAGAAAGGAAAATAATAGAAGTTATAAACTTACCAAATTATGTGATTCAAATATTATTTATTGCAACAACTTAAACTATTATGACACTTTGAATTGCACAAGAGGCCCTTGCTTTTACAACTGCGTTTATTTGTGCTTTTGGAATGGCAGCGTGTACATATACTCCTCTCTTTTCGACCTACACCAGAGCACATCTGTGATTGTCGACATACACCGGTGAGGGTCCGAATGTACAAGAATGTAAAGAAATATTCGATCTTTCACCGACGTATTTGGTGAATGTTGACATTCTCCGGTGAAAGTCGACATTCCCCAATTTCGGTCTTTCACAGTAACACATACATTCGCCACGATCTTCCTTTCACGAAATGTAGTAATCCCGAATAGATCAGAACTTCGCAGGAAGAATCTAATGAAGAATTCTTCGTACAGACACAACCCTAACAATATGTCAAGAGCTGTAATGGTTAATTGAGCAAACTGATATTCGCTTTCAATTTTTTTTTCTCGTACACGTACATTCAGGCATCCACAAGCCTACAGTTTTACACTACGAATCAAATTATGGCACTTTTGGTTTGCCTGAAGACGTTTGGATTAATAGGACCAATACAGTTTAGCTCAGTGGAATCTAATTACAAAGTGCCACTAACTTCTTTCCCGAGTTATCGAGATGGAATGAATACCTGCATGCAGACCAATACTTAATAGCATTCAACACTAACCTTTTAACTTTAGCATTTAACACCGAAACTTGAATTCTCTTATACTTGCACATTAAGTTTGCCTTTGTTAAAGCGGAATTGTGTGATCGGTTGAAACTAATTAAAGCTTATCATGAAAAGTTAGGTTTTGCGTTGCCTAAGAACTAAATACCACGCAATAGTTGTCTTCTCAGTGGATGCATCTGTTTGCTATAACGCAGGAAATACCAATTAGGTATAGCAAGCTGACATTTAACGCATTTTAGATGCAGCAAGCTTGACTTCGCCATCGAATCTCTTAGCTCCATTTGTGTGTGCGACCTAACACCTAAATCTACAATTACATAATGAAGCCTAACGCTGATTTTTGTTGTTTGACTTCTGAATTAGTAATAAAGCCTGTTAACAAGGACAAGTCGTGTAGATTTTTTTAAGCTTTGTTATGCACTTTTTTGGTATATTTGTTATAATATTGGACATTCCTCCATAAAACTTTCCAAACACACCATGGAATTATTAATCATCTTGTACATCTGTCATATATAAGTAATACACACATGTAAGGAATACATATCACATATGCACTGAAGTGTTAATCCATATGCCTCCCGCATAACTCCCATTCTTTAGATTTCGAATGGCAAAAGCATATCCCAAGTTGTACACATCGATTCGTAGTAATTACAGGGAGTCTCGAAAGTTCGTTTCCAAACTTAGCATATTGGTCTGTCATACCATGACAAAGAAGATTTACAAAGGACTTCCGTCCGAAAGTGAAAACGGCGACCGCTAGAGAGCAGTGTTCGCAAGCGTAGAAGGAAAGAAAGACAGCATGTCAAAAGAGGTATTAATATGACTTTTATAAAGGAACATGGTAAAATCATAGAAGATGTTTAATATTCCTTCCATTTGCGAAATTGCCTTCACAAAGTCGACGCATGGATTCAAGGACCCGTTCGAAATGGACTGCTGTAGCTGCTGGAACGTCAATCGTCAGATCCGGCAACACTCTTTCCCCAAAATGGGTTTCAGCGTGTAGCTGCTGGAACGTCAACCGTCAGATCCGGCAACACTCTTTCCCCGAAATGGGTTTCAGCGTGTAGCTACTAGAACACGTCAACCGTCAGATCCGGCAACATTCTTTCCACAACATGTGGCCCCCAAAAAAAGTTAGTAAATCGATTCATTCCCCTTTTGCAACGTCCTCGCCTGAAATGATGACACTTCCCACTGTCCTATAAGCCTACGAATACTGCCCCCTAGCTATCGCCATTCGCATTTTCGGACACAATTCCTATGTAAATCTTGTTTGTCATAGTATGAGAGACCAGCATGTTAAGTTTGACAACTACCTTTTGAAACACCCTGTATATGATGATTCTGTATACTTTATATTTCTCTTTATTACATTAGTACTTAAGAAGCTATTTCCGACCGCTCCTAGAGTTACTGATTATACAACTTGTGTGCTAGAAATAGCTTCGTTTCGTGTAATTTATAGACTACAATTACGATAAAGGAGTAAAAAGAGCTGAACGAAAAAAATTAACGAAAATTTCCTTTAATTCTTTAAATCTATTCTAAAATTCCGAGTAGTTTTCTAGACTACTATAATTAAATCTTTTCCTTTTTTTCCCAGGTTTTATTGCCGCAAACGGCGATGAATGGCAAGAACAGAGAAGATTTTGCCTTTCGTCTGCTCGAGACCTAGGCCTTGGAAGAGGAGCTTGGGAAAACATCGTTATGGTATTTTCAAACTCATCCATACAATCAGTCTCAACCATACAGTTTAAAGTGCCCATCATTGCTTTCATTGACATCGTATTAACTCTACGTCATACAGAATTTTCCCTCCTCTAACTTACAGTGTTATCATAGGTACAACGTTAGCTGCCATATATAAAAAAATCTGGGAGATTTCAGATTTTACATTACGCCCAAAGGGGCGTATTTTTTAACGTTTCGTGTTACCTTTATTTATTATATAGCATGTTCTTCGCACTTCATAAAATTCAGTTCAACAGCAATATCACAAAATAATTTAGAAAGAGCATATCTTCGTGAAGTCTTTCCAAGAGAAATAAGTTTGCATTAATCATACACGTAAGAAAAATAATTTAACCTTCCAAGCGGCCAGCCCATTTATAGGATTTGAGGTTGGGTCCAACTGCCTATATTCAGCGATTCCATCGCTCAACCGCCCACCAGCGGCCGAGTGGTAAAGTCGCTGAACACTGGTAGTTCGGTCCGAGGTTCGAATCCCGCGAACGGGCTGCCTGCATGGGCGTTTTCGTTGTGGTTTTTCCCTATGTGTAACGTGTATACGAGCCAGTTTCCCTTTAAAAGTCCTCCACGAAGGCCTCCCTTCCTTTAGGCAGATAGCCCTCGAGGTTTTGCCATAATTACACAAACCAAACCAATCTATCTCTCAACCTCCGGTGAGTTCTTTCTATCTTTGCTGGGAAAGGTCTGTTACATTCTTTTGTTTTTTTGAAAACCAGATTGATATTTCTTCAAATAATATCACAAATACTGAGCAAAGCTATGGTATCACTTAGTTTAATATCCGTGTATTCACTTCCATAGTTTTTGATATTCCACGCTGTCCGGTCACCGCCCTTGGTATTCCACTTTCATCTTTATTATTCTATTTACGCTATTCTACTGGCCTCTGGCCTCTTATAAGTTACTTAAGGTTAATCTTTAAATTATGGTAACTTGGCGAAAATTTGGCGACAACTGCTACAGCACCTGCTAGTTTTGTTTGGACGCCATTTTGTTTAAAAGTAAAGGCATTTTTTCCCCCTCACATTTTTTCAACAATCTGCTAGCCGAATTACGCTTGCTAGAACTTTTATGGAACAAAAGTGTTAATCAGACGAAGATAGGTGCGAATTGGGAGAAAGTGCAGAATCGCAAATGCTTGTGCGTTTTTAAGAATTGCACATTACACGGTACATCCATGTAACGTCGACCTATTTTCACTTAAAAAAAAATCCCAGAATTGCACAAAAATGGCATTGTGCACACTCTTGACTTTATCCATTTATCGCCTAACCAAAATGTCGCCAAACTACCTGTTACCATATTCCAAAGATTAGCCTTTTGTATTCTTGTTGAATTTTTCGTCTTTTAATGAATGGAATTAATAATATACAACGTATCCAAATAGAAGTCTTTTCGTTACTTTACCTGACTTTCGGGACTGGACCAATCAACGATGTTCTGCTTGTCACGTGCCACCACAAGCTTTGATTTCACGACCTTACTCAGAATTATTTACAATTTATTTAAAGAAGAATTTCTACTAGCTAATGTTTTTCGTTACATTAATTCACGCTTCTGTGCGTTGATGCATGCTTTCATGTATCGCACTCATTTCTAAAACAAAGCAATTGTTACAAGTGCAAACATTTCCAGCAACTAAGATTCCAGTTCCAGTTCCACTGACTTCTTCCGGGACACATCATCTTGAATCGCATCGTGTCATCTCAATTTCTAATACTGAAGAAGTCAAATTTTCTAACGCAATTTATTGACAATTAAAACTTGGCAAGTTAGGAACCTATATCAAAGAAAGTAATAAATTGCTTTCTAAATTAATTGAAGAACGTTGTACATTTCTACATCTATGGAACTGCTGTGGAACTTGCCATCTGTTAGGCCTCAACATTTTTCTCGGTGTCACCGACTACATAGAACGTCGTTTCTCCCAAACATGACCCTTTTCCACATTTATATTGTTGCTATGATTTTATTATTCGAAACGCCACACAGGAATTTATATTAAGATTGCCGACCAAGGCTTATAGAGGAAGTTGAAGTTCTACTGACATCGCTTCCATCATTGCATCAGTATATTTTTGTCTAACAAAATCTTATAGCGTAGGTTATTCTTCATTTCCTCCGTTCATAATTTTATGCTTTCTTCACTTATATTTTTAAATCTTTAAATATAGGAATATTTTTATCGAAGCTCAATGCTGTTACCGTTTCGTCAGTAGTCTTCCTATGGTACTTACGTATTAACACCCCCGCACTTAAGTATTAACGCCACCGTAGAAGAAGATTCGCTCATATGGTAATAAAGAGCAATCCTGTTATTCGCACGCAGTTATCTTTTCGATTCCTTTTTGCCTTGTTGTTTGCTGATTTTTGACGCCATTTTTTTGGTGCTACGAAAATGCGTCTTTGGGATTTGCCAAACACAGAGGAAGATGCAATTTTATTTTTTCAGGAGCGAAATATTTAAAAAAAAAAAAAAAAAAAAAAATGTACCAATTCGCATGATATGAAACTTTATTTTGGTAAGCGTACGTTTTGGAAGTGGTTTCTTTTGGTTCTTCGCCTGTTTTGCGATTTTGACGCCATTTTTTTGTGCTAGAAAATGAGTCTTTGGGATTGCTAAACACAGAAGAAGATGCAATTTTTTTTTCAGGAGCGAAATATTTTACAAAAATAATGAAAGTATGAGTATCAGGATATGAAACGTTATTTTGGTAAAGTACGTTTGGAATGGATCTTTTGGATTCCTTTGCCTGTTGTTTGTGATTTTGACGCCATTGTTGGTGCTACGAAAATGCATCTTTGGGATTTGCAAACACAAAGGAGATGAAATTTTATTTTTGCAGGAGCGAAAATTTTACCAATAAAACGAAAAGTACTAATTGCATGATATGAAACTTTATTTGGTTGTCGTACGTTGGAAATAGATTCTTTTGGATCCTTTTGCTGGTTGTTTGCTTATTGGACGCCATTTTTGGTGCTACGAAATGCGTCTTGGGATTGCCAAACACAGAGGAAGATGCAATTTATTTTTTCAGGAGCGAAATATTTACCAAAAACGAAAATGATTAATTGCATGATGTGAAATTTATTTTGGTAAACGTACGTTTTGGAGTGTATTACGACAGTGTGATCAGCATGGGACTTGGAAAAGGAAACTGTTTGAAGGAAGCAGAATTCCTTTTCAGCTTGAGATTCATTACTGCTGGGCGAGGAGTGACGTCGATTAATTGTAAAAGAACTTGATTTATCGGATAAACAGATAGATTGGAACAATACATGCGTGAGCATTGCGTTTGGATATGGAGAATAAACCAGAGAAGAAGGTAGATGAACCAGATGCATTGGAATTGATGGAAGTTTGTTTAATAAGCGAAAAATAATGTGGTCGAGTATACCTAACGTGGGTGTTGGGGTATACGTAGAGAAACAAAAGATTCGTTGCTGTTACTGTCCTCATAAACGGCTCTACCCTCTTAATAAATTATGAAAAAATTGTAGTGGAGCACAATTTTCTGATAGTTGGAAAGGTTACCAACAAATAGAAAAAAAAGAAGGATCCCTACTGCTAAGTAATCATAAATACAATTTTATTGATCCTGATACAGGAGTATACACAAACAGTTGAGAGAAGTGAGGCAGTGCTAATGGAGGAACAAGACACATAGGAGCAGGAGAGAGCAGTTAGATCTTATTTAGCAGAGTTAATATGGCGACAGCCTTAGGTCAAGAAAATAGAGACTTTTTTAATAGTTAAACTTATTCGGCATTTCCCCGAAATCGATTGACTATTTTGATTTTAAATAAAGTATTTTAATTTATGATTTGTTGCAAAAATTTTAGGTGTAGATTGGCAGAACTTAAAAACCGCCAAATCTGCAGCTGCGGTAGCGTTCATACGTAAATACCTCTTCCAATTTTATAAAATCAAATCGTCAAGGCATGGATCAATATTTCCCGTCCGAGTTAATATTAAGCTTTTAAGTACCATACAGTCCATTTTCTAGGAAGTTCATTGCATCAAAAATCACGTTTCTTGTAGACTGTAACACGTTCTTCATCAATTCCAAATTTTATTCGGAGAACATTTTTAGAGGAATTCGCAAAATGAATAATCGCTAGTTCAGTTTATTTTATTATACTGAATATGAAATTCGTCAAAGTACAACACTTTATTTAAGGAAAAGGTAAACTTTTCTCAGACTAAAATGCAACTGAGAAATAAGAACTAATATTTTGAAATGTTAACTGATTAATTCAGTAACTTACAATTTTTATATTACCGAGAGTTATCAAGTTTAAAGCGCTAAATTACTTATCATGTAGGTATGTAAATAAAGCATTATGGAAAACCAATTCTATCGTTTAAATTCACTACATTTCAGTTTTGACATTCAATTTTTTTCCAGCCTAGAAATGCCGTTCTTACTTTAGGCCTAACAGCGGCCGAGCGATAAAGTCGTTGAACACTGATAGCCCGGTTCGAGGTTCCAATAGAGCGAACGGACTGTCTGCATGGGCGTTCACGTGTTTTCCCTCATTTGGTAACAAGTATACGAAGCAGTTTCCCTCCATGAAAGATTCCCTCCCCTTAGGCAGATAGCCCTCGAGGCTTTGCCGTAATTAAATAGACCAGACCAAACCCCTCTCACTGAACTGTCTTTGCCATTTGCTGGCAAAGGTAATGAAAGGACATAGTTCTAATCTCAGTTAATTCTTTAGTGTTTCATTGGATTTCTAAATCCTTTTATGATTTTCAGAGCACCATGCAAATTCTTTTTACTTCCTTGTACGGATTAAAAAGGAAGTATTGTAATCGCAAAAGATTCAGGAAGCATATTTCAACGAAAATATCCATTTTGACCATTATTTGATATGTACGTACGTACGTACGTATCTCGCATAACTCAGAAACGAATAGCCTCAGAACGTTGAAATTTTGTGTATAGGACTG